AGCTTTCGCTTTAAGGAGCAAGTTAATGTACAGATGACGTCATATTCTAAGGACGTTGACGGCAATGGACCTGACGCTGATTACGCTTTAAGGAATATTCTGCCGTAAAGCTGTCATCAACGGCGGCACCTTTTGCGACGGAACGTTGGACGACATTTGGGCAAAATGACGCTTTTTTGGCTACCGTTGTACATACAAAAGCGTTCAAAAATGTTGTATGCAACGATCTTCTGTACTTTGCATTTTTTTGATAGGATCCTCAGGACTGAGGACGATTTTTCTCCTGAACGCCTCAAATCCTTAGACCAAAAAGATCTTTTAAAAGCTTAAAGCTGAAAAATCTTTGAGTAGCAGAAGCACAACATATCAACGTTTGAAATGAATTGGTAGGTGACAGAAGTTATGCACAAGAAACCGTTCCAGTGGAAGACTTCTGACCACTACTGTGTCTCTCCAGACAAAAGTATGGATTATTCTAGAATCTCCTTTGAAGGATTTCACTTTTTCTTCGTGAATCGCATTATTGTGGATTATCTTTCCGGATCGACATGAATAGCCATAAATTTTTTAAACCGTTGAAGAGCCTTAAGCCGTTTCCGAAGCTTTGATCTCAATAAAATGCTATATAAACTGTAATGGATTACAGAATCAAGTGCGGCACAGCGTCATATAGAGTTAATTTGATCGGGGATGAAATAAAAAAGAAATTTGATTGTTATTCCACGCGATGAAAAACGCGTCATGCAAAATAATGCTGAAGAATATTCTGAAGAAGCTTCGAGCGAGCTTTATGAATGTATTTGTTGGGGCTGAAAAAAATTAATTTTTAATTTTCAATTCCTCGAATTTCTTAATTTCACTCATTTGTTGGACAATAAAAAACAAAGTAATAAGGCGTCAAGAAATAAAGAATAACGATAGTAAAATAATGCCATCGCTTCAAAACGAAAACAGCTTTGTAACGTTGATAAAATTGCCGCTGCATTCAAAATGCAGGTAATTCACTCGGAAGGATTAGTAAGACTACAGCGCAGGATTACCATAGAAGTTTCAGATATGCGGCAAGTAGCGCTGAGAGAATAGTGCCGATTTTGAAGTTTTGATCACAAAGTAACATCAAGCTCATTGGGCCACATTGAGCTATTACCACCCCAGAGGCGGGTGAGATGCATCAAAAATTTTTTTTCGCTGAAACTTGCGCTAGGAGGGTTATCGAGGGTCCTGATCACGAATATGACATCCTTTTTGGCGCTGGCGCCAAATTGGCGCCAGCTGGCGCCACTACTGATTATCACCAAATTCGCTGTAAACTTCTGAATAGGGGTTATTTGGGGCCCTGATCACGAATATGACACTGGTTTTCAACATTCGTGTTGTTTAACGCATATTTTCTGATTTTCTAAGGCTTTCTCACCTATGGCGCCTAGGACTAAGCTTAGGGGAGGGGAGTGAAACTCCGGAGTGGGTGAACCACGCACCGTGTGGCAAAAGTTGGAGTGTGTTAGACCACAGGGGAGTGCCCTACTCACTTTGGAGCCCTCCACTATTCAAAGGCTTAGTCCCTGATTGCTATATAATTAGTGCGAGGCGCTAACAACAAAAACGATTGTCATATTCGTGATCAGGAGCCTCGATAACCCCTATCCACAAGTTTACAGCGAATTTGGTGAGAACACCCTTGGCGCCAATTTGGCGCCAGCGCCAAAAACTAAGGTCATATTCGTGATCAGGAGCCTCGATAACCCCCCTAGCGCAAGTTTCAGCGAAAAAAATTTTTTGATCCATCTCACCCCCTCTGGGGTTGTAATAGCTCAAT